GGATTAAGTCATTTTGTGGAAATAATCTACATTTTAATGGGATGGCCTGGTGCTAGTTAGTGATAATCCCAGCTAGAATATATCTGTTTAGTTGCCAATACTTCTTGGCGATTGAGGACTAAATGGCATTCCACGGCTCCAGCTGCCGCCACCTGCGGTTTCAAATCGCTGTTTAAAATGCGCTCCGGAAGGTAGATGTTAAAAGATGCTTAAACAGTGGTTTTCCTCTTTTTTTGTCTCTTCAACTGTGAGATCTTTTATCAGTCTCCTGTGGAAGTTCTAATACAAAAGATATAAAAGTGACGCCGTTGTGATTTCTACCCAAAGGGAGACGAGGAAGGACAGCCCCCCCGCTGGCTGCTCCCATCAGGCACCTCTGCTCCAGAAGCATGTTCTGAAACCACTGCTCTTAAAGAATTTGACACCTACACATGGTCATTCATGGCTAATTTCCAAACACTTTATTTTTCAGTCAGGATATATTACTTTAAAATATTTATACTTTAGTTTTTTTTGTTTTTTTAAAAACAGCCTTTTTTTCTAGGCTTTTAGGAAATATGCCATAACTCATTTCTAGCCTTTCCGTGATTTTATTTTTTAAATCATAAAGCGATGAGTTTGCCTTCATCAGATGTCTGCCTGGGTATTAGACTTGGCTGAGATCTAGTCCCTGGCCCTATAACTACATGACCTTGGGCAGGTGATTTGGCTACTTTATGCCTCAGTTTCCCATTTATTGCTGTATTAAGAGAGTGTGTCCCGCCATAATTTACAGAGATGGCATAATACAACATGAAAAAGCAATACAACATGATAATACAACATGAAATAATACAACATGAAAAAGTCTTTGTCCTCCTAAGTAGAGCAGTATAAATACTAATGCACTGTCCTGCTCACAGAGCCTTCACTCACTGCCCCGGCATGCCCCTGTAGAGCCCCGCGGCCCCCCTGAGCCCCCCATGCTGCTTAGAGCCCCGCGGCCCCCCCCCCCCATGCTCCTTAGAGCCCCGAGGGGCCCGGCTGCCCCTTAGAGCCCCGCGGCCCCGCCCCCCATGCTCCTTAGAGCCCCGCGACCCTGCCCCCCATGCTCCTTAGAGCCCCGCGGCCCTGCCCCCCATGCTCCTTAGAGCCCCGAGGGGCCCCGGCTGCCCCTTAGAGCCCCGTGGCCCCGCCCCCCATGCTCCTTAGAGCCCCGCGGCCCCGCCGCCCATGCCCCTTAGAGCCCCGCGGGCCCCCCCCCCCGCTCCTTAGAGCCCCGAGGGGCCAGCTGCCCCTTAGAGCCCCGCGGGGCCGGCACTCAGTTTGGAAGGAGCTGTCTGTGTGTCTGTCACAGACGAAGGCCACAAACAGTTGTGGCAAAGACATTTAGCACACAGCTGATTTTCAACCCAGCTCTTTCTTTCCATTTCAGGTCTCTGAAGTCATGGGTGGCTGGCCCCTGCTCAGAGTGACAGCGCCCTGTGGAGCCTGCTGGCACTGCCCGACCACACGGAGCCCACTGGAGCAGGGAGCCAGCCGAGAGGGGCAGGTAGGAACTGTTTTTTCACTTTATGGCACGGTTTTGCTGATTGGAAAAAAGTAATTTTTATACCCCCAATGGGTATGGAACATTGGTGATTATTTCCGAAAGAGGGCTTTCCAAAACTGAGCCATATTGGAAAAAATCAGCACTTACCCAATCACATGCAAGCAGGCCCTTTCCAACATCAGCTTCCCGCGGTGTCCGTGACGACAGTCACGCGTGGCACTGCTCAGGTGGATGCGTTGCGTCCACGTTGTGGTGTTAAACCATGAGCCAGAGGCCATTGGAAACGGTGTTGGCCGAGCCCTGCGCACACTCCCTGACGACCTTGCGCGAGTCTGAGCAGAGCGGTGACGAATCTCCTGGAACTTTAAATATGCTCCGTAGTTTTCAAAACAGCTTCCTTTTTCTTTTTCCAGTCAGTACCATGTTTTTGAAAAATAAGCAAGTGATAGTATCATGAATTAACCCTTTCCTGTGAGCTACCTACGTAGTTTACATGGATTACCTCATTAAACCTTAACAAGGACAGTATGTGGTAGCTCTCATGGTCATGTCCATTTTACAGATGGAGAAACTGAGACTTAGAGGAGTTAAATGACTTGCCCACGGTTACGGTATTACTGAGGGAAAAGGCCAGATTTGAACCCAGGGAGTCTGGGTGAAGAGTCTTTGTTATTTACCTGTCAGACTGTAATTCATTACTTTTTTTTTACAGTTGAGAAAATTCTTACTTCAAAGAGCTAAAGAACTTTCTCAAGACCAAAACAAACTTTTCAGAAACATATAGTAATTGGCATGAGACGCCTTGAGCTATTATTGAATGAACTTTTACTTAAAGTTTATCTCTACCTTAAATATGATAATATAGCCCAACCAATGTGGCTAAGTTGTTGAGCGTCGACCCATGCATCAAGAGGTCGCTGGTTCGATTCCCGGTCAGGGCACATGCCCATGTTGTGGGCCCGATCCCCAGGGGGGCATGCAGGAGGCGGCCAATTGATGTTTTCTCTCATCGATGTTTCTCGCTCTCCCTCTCCCTTCCTTTGTCTCTAAAATCAATAAAATACTAGTAATAATATAGTTCTAGACACTTCCAATAAGCTGACAAGCCACACTGTACTTTGTAGTAAATTATCCCTGCACCATATGGTCAGATTTCTGTTATGTGAGTGTGATGATTTCTGTTTTGTCACACACCTCCAGAAGGTGTTTCACAGAGAGACGGGGCAGATGCACCAGCTGAATGAAGCAAGCAGCACTGAGCTAATAAGTGTGTTTTAAAAATATTATCTATTCTGATGGTTGTTGTGTGAATTTTTAGAAATATTTCTGTAACTTTAAAGTCAAGGGTGTGGTATTGGTGAATATCTAGTGTACAAAAGCATGTGACAGGCAAAGTCTTTCCAAAACCAGCTGCAGGGCACGAGGATGAGAAATGGAAGGGAAGGCTTTCGTACTGAGCCCTGGTCTTCAGCGGGGGGGAGCAGCAGACGTGCCCCAGGTACACGCAGGTCCACGGCAGGCTGGCTGCACAACCAGAGTAAACCTTAGTTTAATAGTATCTTTCTGTCTCAGCAGAAACCTGGTTCATATTTTATCTCCTTTAGGAGGTGATGACAGCATTCTAGATCCTTCATCAACTTTTTTAGAGACTTACTACTTCCTAAACTTTATTTCAATAAATAAGATACACTTCATTTCATGAGATTTATATGTTCTGTAAATTAATGGAAAAATTAAAGATTGTAAAAGATTGCTTGGAGAGTTCATAGGGCTCTTCATCCTTAAGCGAGGGCACAATAAAATGTATCATAGACCCAAAGGGATGGAAAATATTTCATAGGAGACTGTCTAGGAGGGTTTTCCGATGTGTATCTTACTCCGACTCACATTTTGCTGTGATTTTCTTTAAAGAATATAATTTTGTTTTTCTGAAAAAATTAACTCATCTATTCAAAAACAGCATAGAATTGCTGTGCCCAGCCCTGCAGTGGATAAATGAGACATCTTGTAGAGGAAGCAAAGCCTGGGTAGTCATGGCGAGGCTGCGGTACCACAGCTCCTGCTGCTTTGGTGGTGTGGTGCAGACTTGTTGACCTGCACGTTCTGGTGAAAGGTGATAAGTGAGGATAAGTAAAGCTATTACTCAAGTGATGACCATGCTCTGTACCAGAATCTAGCAGTACAAAAAACCTCTGAGCAAACTGGTTGTATCAGGAGGCGGACTGAAGTTGAGACAAGTGGTCCCAGTAGCAGGATTCAGACTTCTAAATGCACAAATAGTCAAGTGATACAAAATTTCCGAGAATCCAGGATATATTGGAAAACTCTTAGCTATTCAGTTAAGGACACTCTTAACTCAAAATATCTACCTTTGGGGGAATTAGATGCCAGTATGAATGGAAACTGGTCATCAACCAGTTCCTGCTGGGTTTCTGTTTCATTCACAGCACTTGCCAAGGACTAGACCATAGGCTATCAGAAACCAGGAAACATTTCTACACTGAGGGACAGCTATGCTCATTACCCACATTTTCCTGTAGCCCCCCAGGACATGGGACCCAAGTCAGAAACAGTTGCCACCTCCTTCTGTTCCCTGTGCCTTGCTCAGGCGCCAGGTCCCCAGGATGCCCAGGAGCAGAGGAGAAGCCTAAGCCTACGAGTGTTGGGACTTGTTCTGTGTCCAGAACTCATTGTCACAACCAGCATGAAATAAAAGGTGCCTGACTCCAGATGAGTACTTTCCCCATTGTATCATGCCGCTTTTTTCAACAACAGTAGAGCCTGTTTATAAAACAAATTCTGACCTAGAAACTTAGTGTATCAAAGAGTAGAAATAAAATGTTCTATTTGGAGCCAAGGTGGATGGACATTGGCATGAAGCCCAGACCATTTAAGCACTTCTTACCTTGACTTCAGAGTACAGACTTACTGTGCACACATATCATAGAGTGGTAGTTGTCTGTGTTCCACCTCATTGTTTCTTTCATAAACGTTTTCTTGGTCTAACACCTTCACTTGAGCTCCTTTTTCAGCTCGGGGGTGTAACAGACAACATCTAGTAAAGTGGAGTGAGCACCTCGTTTCATGTTTGAACCCTCCAATCCAGAACGAACTCAGCTTAGGAGCTGGTGAGGGTCGAGAGGGACAGGGAGTCCTCTGTTTAGTGGAGGACTTGCCCCTTCCTGTTTCACCTCCCTTGCCCCTCGTGCCTGTGCTGAGTGAACTTAAGAAGAAGTGTATGCATGGAAGTAGATGAGCACTTACTCAGCTCCTGCTCCAAGTTGCTGTCTGCTTGCTGGACTGATGTATCCTCAGCACCTGCCCTGCTTACTCACTGCTCGGGAAACACCGCAGTGCTTGCTTCTCTCCCCACCCTGTACATTTGTTTCTTAAGCTTAGAGATGATCATGACCTTGCAGTGCAGTTGTCTGCTGCTTACTTTTAAGTGGAAATCTCATTTTTGTTTCAGATTCTCCTCCTTCTGTGGTTAACAAACAGCTCGGATCCCTGTCACTTGACGAGCAGCAGGGTGCGTGCAGCAGGGGATGCGCTAGGCCATCATCCGTAGTCCTGTTGCCGAGTCTAGACCACGCCCTCTCCCAGAGCGTGTCATTCCCAGACGGTCTGAGAGGCAGTGTTCTGCGGGCTGAGTGCCCCCGGTGGTATTGTGCCAAGGCCCTTAACCTGTACAGGTCATTTTCTATGTAAGCTGAGTTAATGTCTGCCTTTGGCCCCTGTGCCAAATCTGAATTCTCTTTCTCTACTAAGACTGCAGTGGATATAAACTCTACCCATTTTCTTATTCTAGGTATCTATCACACAACTGTGTGGAATGGTGGGTGTGAGGTTAATGTATTACCTAGTGGGTGACTTAGAAAAGGCTATTTGAACTTGTAAAACTCTACTGCTACATTGCTGTAGGCTCGAGACCTGGTTTATGTCTCAGTTTCCGGTGGTAAGCTCCAGATAGCCTGCACCAGAAGGGATGCATTGCGACTACTACCTTGCTGTAGGCTCGAGACCTGGTTTATGTCTCAGTTTCCGGTGGTGAGCTCCGGGTAGCCTGCACCGGAAGGGATGCATTGCGACTACTACCTTGCTGTAGGCTCGAGACCTGGTTTATGTCTCAGTTTCCGGTGGTGAGCTCCGGGTAGCCTGCACCGGAAGGGATGCATTGCGACTACTACCTTGCTGTGGGCTCGAGACCTGGTTTATGTCTCAGTTTCCGGTGGTAAGCTCCGGGTAGCCTGCACCGGAAGGGATGCATTGCGACTACTACCTTGCTGTGGGCTCGAGACCTGGTTTATGTCTCAGTTTCCGGTGGTGAGCTCCGGGTAGCCTGCACCGGAAGGGATGCATTGCGACTACCACCTTGCTGTGGGCTCGAGACCTGGTTTATGTCTCAGTTTCCGGTGGTGAGCTCCGGGTAGCCTGCACCGGAAGGGATGCATTGCGACTACTACCTTGCTGTAGGCTCGAGACCTGGTTTATGTCTCAGTTTCCGGTGGTGAGCTCCGGGTAGCCTGCACCGGAAGGGATGCATTGCGACTACTACCTTGCTGTGGGCTCGAGACCTGGTTTATGTCTCAGTTTCCGGTGGTGAGCTCCGGGTAGCCTGCACCGGAAGGGATGCATTGCGAATGGCAGCACGAGCCCCACGGCTCGGTCAGAAGGGAGGGGGCTGCTGCCTTCCACTGCGTTTGGAGCAGGGGAGCCTGGAGCGGAGCCCGAGACACGGTCTGGTGCTTTTCTGAAAGTTGAATAGTAACCGAGCACGAAAGCAAGAGCTGCCTCGGCTCACTGTGTCCATGCGCAGGATGACTCACCTGTAAACAGTGTTGGGGAGTGAAACACTGATGAAGAGCCTTTGGTGTGAAATCTGATTTTAACTATATTCTTGGGGAAATACTCAAACTAATTTTAAAGAAAATTAGAAAACTTTTGTACTTCTAATCTTAGATTATTGTTTATACAAGTAGTTTTTATGCTATAGCTTTTCCTGCTCTTGAGAACAAATTGAACTAAGAAATAAGCATGTTTTATCTTTACACGTTTATTGTAGTGGTATTAACGGTGAAGAATAATGACTTTAAGGTGAAACAATTACATTAGCATTATGTATTATATTAAAACTTCTCTCTAATCAAGTGATCTCTTTTGTAGGATATGTGAATGTAAAGGTAGGTATGTTACCACCAGAGAGTTTGCAGTCAGATTCATAGTCTATAAGATCACATAGAATAATTTCCATGGAATTATATTAAATGTTATATTCAACTTAAGTTGGTACCTAACTTATGTATGCTATGGGATATGACAGAAAGAGACAAAGGATACACCCAGATTCAGTGACTGTGCCATTACTTGGGTAGACTGGTTTGGAGGCAGGAATCAAGAGGTTTTTTTTGTTGCTGTTCATGTAAGGTGTGGTGGTGTTTTAGCCGTGCAAGTAGAAGTGTTGTGTAAAAGGTCAGATGCTGAGTAGGCTTGGCAGAAGCTGCCATGGTAGACCGTCGTCAGTGCAGCGTCTCTAGCGGGTCCTCCGAGCAGAACTGTGCTGATGATGGGCGCAGAGCCCAGCGAACTAACTCCGGAGCCTTTACACGCCTTTCTGCCTCTTGCCGAGGATTGGGACCCCCACGCTCCAGGCTCCCTGCCTGCGGAGGGCTGCTGAGCGTTCAGAGAACCTTCCCCCGTCTCCCTCACCTGGACTCATGCGGCAGCCTCTTGCTGGGTCTCTTCATATCTACTCGGGCTGTAGTCTGTTCTCTGCCAGCAGCCAGAGTGAACCTTTAAAAGTGGTGGACCGGCCCTGGCCGGTTTGGCTCAGCGGTTAGAGCGTCGGCCTGCGGTCCTGAGAGACCCGGGTTCGGTTCCCGCTAAGGGCACGTACCTTGGTTGCGGTTTGTCCCCGGCCCTGGTCGGTTGTGCGGGTGGCAGCCACTCGATGTGTTCCTTTCACATTGATGTTTCTCTCTCTCTGTTCCTCTCTCTCCCTCCCACTCTGCCTTAACAAAAAAATGGAAAAATGTCCTCTGATGAGGATAAAAAAATAATAAATAAAAAAATAAATAAAAGTGGTGGACCGAATCATGCCATTCCTCTGCCTCAGACCTTGTCGTCGTGTTCCTTTGCCCTGCAGAGCCACCTGAATCCTCACAGAGCCCTGCATGGCCTGGCCCCACCCCTCCAGCCTTATCCTGGGTTCCTCTTCCTCACCCGCGGAGCTCCTGCCACGTAGGCCCACGTTAGTTCTAACACACTCGGCCTCTCTCCCTCAGACGCCTTCTGTCATTCCCACTCCTTCGACCAAGAATGCTTCCCCTCCGGCCACACACCCCGTCTCACTCAGGTGCGCTTTCTCCCAGCCGACAGGACCGCTCGCTCTCCTTTCCTCTTCCTGTTCACATGTTTCCCTTCCCTGCCTTTGTCACCATTTGTGAGCACACACTCGGGGGATTGTTTGTCTAGGCCCATCTTCCTGCGTGTTCTGCGAGTGTCCTAGCTCTGCAATACACTCGGTGCGGGCACCGCCTCTGCCCCACTTCACAGCGCGTGCTTGTGGGATGGGTGAGTGGGTGGGTGAGTGATTCCTGGAGCAGTGGGCGGCTGTGGCCGTCATCCCAGCTCGAGAGAGACACGCAGATTCGTGTGTGAGGAAGGTCGTGTGGCAGCATTCCAGATGACTGATCAGAGCGGGTGAGATTGACAACAGTAAGAGCAAGAGGCTCTGCACCGCCCAGGCGGGGTGGGGAGGGGTCCGGTCTAAGGCAGGGGTGGTGGGAGAGGAGAGCGGACAGGTTTGTGACGCGCTTAGGAAACAGAATTGACAGGACTTTGATTCAGTTAACAAGGAATGAGAAGGTGATATCCAGGTGTCTAGATAGTGATCCCATCAGCCAAGATGGAGATTTCAGGAGGAACAGCCCGTCATAAGGGGAGAGGGACGCGAGGTTTTCACGTTGTGTTGAGTTGGAGGTATCTTTGGATGTCCAGATGGAGCTGTCTCAGACGGATGGATGGCTCCGTGATTCTAGAGGTCACCAGAGGTCTGAGGAGGAGGTAAGGAGCAGGAATTGTAAATTCGCCGGCAGCATTTGAGACCGGGGAGTGGCGCGGTCACCCAGGGTGAGAGGGTGAGTGGACCAGGCGCCTGCACAGCAGGGCGAGCGGAGAAGCCGGCCAGCCCGCGGGTGGGTGTGAGCAGACAGGGTGTGAGCGGAAGGGTGCCTTCCTGAGCCCTGGGAGCAGTCGAGGAGGAGCTGGTCAGCAGTACGCGGGAAGCACCTGCCTTGGATGCCAGACGGCTGCCATGGGCGGGGCGCGGGGGCTCTGGCGCTGCGCATCCCTGAAATGGTGGTGCGGGAGCCCCTGGCAGTGGTTTGGGAAGAAAGACTTTAAAACAGTGGGGGCAGTGGTCTGTAGGGGACTCAGTAAGCTCGATTAAGGAGAGGATGGAGAAAGGTAATGTTTGCAAGTGGGGTTGTAGTTTCAAAACTGCACATATTTATAGAATAAGAAAGAATCTTTGTAGAAGAGGTTGAATGTATGGGGGATAGTTGATGTCCCCAGATGTGCTGTTACTTTAAGTGTTAACCTTGTCAAGACTCTTGATCTCCATTTTACCCTGTAGAATGGGGCAAGTTGTAGAGTTAATAAGTCTTCTTTCTGCATATAGTTCTACCTAGTGATTGTTTAAGCACATTTTATATTTCCTTACTTTTAAAGAAACACTAATCTTTTTCAACTGATAAGTCAGCTTGATGGTTGCCTGGTGGGACTCACCATCTTCCAGAGGCCCCGGGGTTTGTTGTTTTAATTTCCCATTCTAGCGGGTATGTGTCTTTATTTGGGTAAATACCAACGATAAAAATGTTACTAATAAAAATTTTTAAATTTTAATGGCTTACTTTACTGAAAAAAATACTTTTTCTTTCAGTAATTATGTACATATCATTGAACTGGTTATTTGTAACTAGTGTTTTTCCTTGTTTATCTTGAATTTTTAACAAAAGCACAACATTTGACAAACAAAATATATTTAGTCTAAGCTGCCTGGTTGCCTCCATGGTTCATATTTTCTTTTATCAAACCCTTTTTTAAGAAACCAAGTGGTGGGGAAGTATGTTTACAGCGCGCGGATTGTTCTCATCCTGTTGTGGAATGCCTTCCCGTGCCCCGAGCCACGGTTGTGTGGCACGCTGACCCCGTCCTGTGCTGAGTAGAGCGCTCGTTTGGTGACGATGTTGTGGAATGCCTTCCCGTGCCCCGAGCCACGGTCGTGTGGCACGCTGACCCGTCCTGCGCTGAGCAGAGCGCTCGTTTGGTGACGATGTTGTGGAGTGCCTTCCCGTGTCCCCGAAGCCACGGTCGTGTGGCACGCTGACCCCGTCCTGTGCTGAGTAGAGCGTTCGTTTGGTGACGATGGTATCTGTCCTGTGTTTTGTTCAGTTTGAACAGCATGTCTTAATGAGTAGTTTTGGTTTTCCTTTTTATTCATGTTTCTGATTGTGCCTGTAGGAAAAAGTC